ACAGTATTTATATAAAGCTTTTATCCAATCATAAAATGTGTTTCCATCCAGTTGTAGAGTGAATTTTTATCTAACTTTTCAAAATTCGCAAAAAAATTTAATAAAAATTCTAATCTAGACTGTTTCCATCTAGTTTCCCTCTCGACTGTTTGATACAAATAAAAGAGGCTACGCAATGTGTGATTACGCCAGACGTCGGTGACAAGCTTTGCGGTAGTAAACAGGAAGTGAAACTTGCTAACTAGCAGAGGCTAATCATCTCGGGACAATGGAGCGATTTTTTGTGAATGCCTTGCTATTGGGCAATTGTAATTATTCTATCTATTCAGCTAGTACAGGCTAAGTTTAATGCTGCCAGGAGACGTAGGGAAATAAACGCAATGTCTTCGCGCATTTATAACATCCGGGACGAGGCAGGAGAGTGGAAACAGCTGAACGTCACGTGAGGTAAATATGCGCTACGTCAGAATTTATTCAGCAAACGTGTTTCCATCTCCCATTTTGCGCATTAACTACTTTGCGAATCATCCAAAAACCACCTTAAGCCAGCGTAAAAACTTTTTAGCAAATTGAGGACCTTTTTTTAGAATTTTGCTGTTTCCATCTGACTTTTTTTTTGCATTTTTGATGCGACAATTCTAAATGTGCATCAAAAAGCCTTTGATGGAAACACGGTTATAGTTTGACCATCTATTGTTAGGGTCAAATACAGTCAATCTGCCTCAAGGCCTTCAGAATGAACAAAAAAGGTAAACAAATGGCAATGAAACTGTTATTTTGACCAATTAGGTGCTGGGTTGGCGACATCAGAGCCTGCTAGCTAGCCCAAGATAACTTCAGTATGTTCAGGTTATTTAATTGGCTGATCGGAGAACTCAACACTCAGAACTGGGAAACTAGATTTCTGTAGCATCTCACAAGCTAAATGCTGGGCAGACATTCTCAGTGTTACCGTAAATTAAAACTTATTACAGATATACTATAGAGCAGACTGGACTTTCAGCCTTAGCTTCATGGTGGCGATAGAAAAGGACTTACAGTATTGTTGTGATGAAAACACTATAGTCATTTTTCCACCTACGTGGTTCGGTTCAGCTCCACCCCACTCCGCACCCGTTTTGTGTATTTCCATTGTGGCTCCCGCCTGCTTTCGGCCCACTTTTTCAGATCTCCTCTCGAGGTAGTACTGAGGCCGGCACTGTTTGGGGCGTGGAGGTGCTGAAGCGTGTAGCAGTCACGATTGGCCAGTGAAGCTGGCTGGATGACATAGTTTATTAAGAGCAAGGTGAGATTTTCCAAATGATGGCGGCGGGAGTATGGGGTACCAGGCCCTTTGATACTTTAAGGCTGTTTGGCCCCTGTATGAGCGGTGCCAGAGCCTGGTCCACATTGTCGGCAGTAAGTCAGGCTCGTTTCCAGTGAGAGTTAGACTCCACCAAGGTTGCCCTTTGTCACCGATTCTGTTCATAACTTTTATGGACAGAATTTCTAGCAGCAGCCAAGGTGTAGTCAAGGATCAGAATTAAAAGCATTTAGATATGTTGAAATTACTGTAACTGTGCACTGCCTCTGTCGAAAATAAAAGTAAATAAAATACAATGATGCCTGATCAACATTAGCACTTAGCTAATCAGGCCTGCTGTTAGCCCTGGCTGATATTAAAATGCACTCATGTTTGTTTTTAGTGTTATTCACATTTGATTTTTAACAGCACATCAGCATTAAAACGTGTATTAGTTCTACAGAATATATGCTGTTGCTGATTACTTTTTGTTTAGAAATATAGAAGTTGTATTAATAATAACTCAGCAGTTGTGGTCACTTMCAAGAAAAAACTTATAAAAATAAATAAAAACCCAGGAAAGATCGTGGCTTTTTGGAACTATACTGGGTAATGTTTTTCACCTTCTGTCTGAATGTCATCTTTCTATAAAAGATGAAAACGTCAGTGTGACATGTTAGGAGTATATTATAAAGTTAAATGTGTGTGATTAAAATACAACCCTGACAAATTATTTATGTAATTGTTTTTTGTAGATGTCTGGATGTTTATTTGGCTAACAACAACAACAACCAAACTTCAGATGGCCACACATCCTTTCCTGGTCCATTCCAGTGTCGTTGGTAACGCAGGTCGGTAAGAAAATATATTGAAGGCTTTTATTGCCAAGTTCCCTGTGTTTGTTCAACCTCAGCAGGATTTATAATCTGTTATTAGATGTTTAGTCTGGTAGATTATCGTATGTGATTCATTCTACAACCAAAACATACGTATCTAACATTATATAGGTAAGTTGGTCTAGATGTACAGTATATAAAATAAAATTCAGTATGTGATAAATGTGTTGAATTAAAAATCTGGTTATGGTTTTAACTCCATTATACTGTATAATTGTTTCAGAGAAGCTGACTTTGGGGAAGCTCTGAGACGCAGTGGATTCTGGAAGACTCCTATTCAGGCTTCGTAAAATAGGTAAGTCATAAACTATTTGTGTCGAGATGAATTTTTTGGACTGCAACTGTTGTAGCTCTGATGTTCATCTTAATTGTAGGACAAAGGGAAATATTTGATGGTAAGTTTGGTGGTTTATTCAGTGCAACCGATTTTAAACTGACAAACTGTGGGAGACAGAAACAAGAACCAAAGTTTGAGAACTTAAAACTGAAAAATGTTTCCTTTTATATAACGTAAACATTTATTCAGTACTGGCTTTACAGCCAGGTTAAATAATAAATTTTGTTTTACATAAAATAAAAGTAACAGGCTGCATGATATTTGAAAAAAATGGCATTGCATTTTTACATCGCATTTATATCCTCATAGTCTTCTTCCACAGCTTGAGAATTCACAGAAAACTATTCTCCAGTAAATGTTGTCATTATTGTCTCAGAGGTTTTACAGCAAAAGACAATTTTATATTTATTTTTTCATCAGTCTGATAAGARAAACCACTTCAAATCATAACCACTTGGTCAGTGGAAATGACTGCAGTGAGATAATATGCAGTTGGATTTAGGTTTGTTAATTTTATTGAAAATTCTTTACCTTGTTTTCAGAAGTTTTTATTATTTATAACAAACTGATAGTGAAGCAGTGATTCTCAGTTCCAGTCCTCGTGACCCACTGTCCTGCATGTTTTAGTGGTTTCCTTGCTTTGACACACCTGATTTAAATTATTGGGTGATTGACAGGCTTCTGCAGAACTTAGACCTGCAGAGGAGCAGGAAAACAACTAAAACATGAATTTAGAACCACTGCAGGGAAGGGTGTTTTTCACTATCTGGAGCATCAGAAAATGTTTAATGGGGGAGATGTTGAAAATCATAAAGAAACTGTCATGTTGGAATAGAAATTATGTTTTAGTTTATGTTTGCTGAAAGACATCAACACAGATACTTATGTATTCATTTGTGGGGTCACCTCGAGTGAAGAAACAAGATTTACTGCCTCTAAGCAGGCCTCGGACAGGCCTGACAAGAAAGAAGACAGGAACTCTGTCACAAACCGAACTCTATTTAGGCCATGACAGGTCATTCTAACCGTGGAAGAGAACTCCTCAGTTCTCTTAATCAGATAATGGACAGAACAATCTCTTCTGTTTGTGATTCATTTGTTGTTTAACTAAGAATGTTTATGAATTTGTTAAATCATGATAATGACTGTCACAGGAAAAGTGGGACTACTTCTTTTCTCTTATCGTGCCATAGAGATTTATAATGGTATAAAAAAAATCACAGAGAATCTGATTGTCTCTTTCAACAGGTCAGAAACTGTCCCAGACACACGGGAATGTGGAGGAATCATCTTTCAACAATAATGTATTTACCTGTGCAAAAAATAACAGATTTATTTTACCCATATGTCAAATAAAGCATATATTTAATAATCCTGTGAAGTTMATTGTGCCTATATATCTGRTAAATCTTTAAAAACTTTTBTTTTTTACTAGAYAAAGTTATTTTAGGTCCCTTCAGATATACTGGACATGTTTCAGTGTATTHCWACAAGAGACATAAAATAACAGTGTCAATTAAAAAAGACAAGTTTTTAAGAGCATATTTTTAAGATATTTTTCATGTCTAGCACTGACCCAGTGATTCATCATGATTAATGTAAGTTTGTGTTTTGTAATTGATCAAAAGATAATTCAGTAATGTTCAATGGTAAAGTGATGCTTTAGTTCTAATGAGCAGTTACAAAAAACTAAAACCATTTAACACTTTATTGWAGAATATTTACCAAAATTATAATAGAAATATTAATTTAAATAGGAAAATGTTTTAAACATGGCAAGACAGTATTAAAAATATATAGCCTCAAGGGAATAAATCTACTGTACTGTCCATGAAGATGTTTAAAACAGTCCTTGAAGTCCACACTCAGCAGCCTGCTCTGACCAGAAGTGCAAGCCACAAACTGCCTGTTGTCTTCAGCATCATCTGTAAGGTCAGCTACAGATCCTCCTGGCCAGAAACAAGACTCCTGCCTGCAGAATATATGGTTTGATGAGTGGAAGGTAGAGTTGAGATGCAGATGTCCTGCTGAGGTTCTCAGGAGCTGAACCCACGCTGCTGCGTCTCCCAGTGACCTGCGTGATTCTTCACCACAGCTTCTCTCCATCAGCTGGTAGATGATGATTGTCAAAAACGAGCTGCATAGCATAAAGATAAAATGTCACACTATGCAAAGCAAGAGCTGAAAAATACACAGACTTGTCATGTTGCTGAAATCCTAAAATGGTTCTGAATTTCGGTCCTCGTGACCCACTATGAAGCTTCGGTGTTATGTTAGCTTGATAGCTATTTATAACTTATAGAAAGAGTGCAACATAATTTACATATAAAGTTATGACAAAAGGAGCACTTGTGTAGATAAAGTATGGGCAAGACATGTTCATTAAAAATATTTGTTGATGGTTTGTTCTCACCTGTGACTGCAGCTTAGCTCTGAGCTCTGTGTTACGGTCTGTGCACCACACTCGTCCTCCCGTTTACAAGCATGTGCGCTCCCGACTCTGGGCCCTGCTGTGGGGAGGAGCTTAGGAAGGGGAGCTGAGAGCAGGGGGGAGGGACTTGAAGGTTGTATCTGTTCCAAATTTTTCTAAGTTTTTGAGTTTTCAAGAAACTACATACAGCAGCTTTAATTAAGTTATTTTTGATCTGCAGCCCCACTTTCAAAACAGCCAGGTTATCACATTAACATCGCTGTTGCCTGCTCCAGACATTTACAGGTGATGTTCCGCATGTGTGGTGCATCCTTGTGAGAACAGAGTTTCAAAACTATGATTAAAAACATAATTCCTGCGTGAATCAATTTCATTCATTCATCATTTGATTGTTCAGCAACAAAAACAAGGCATTATACAGAGGAGTGGTTCAGACACTGTCATCCAGGTGCAAAGATTATCACCTCAACCTGGAAAACCCAAAGAGATCATTGTTGAATTCCAGAAGTTGACAAACACACAACACACATAGGACTGCAGACAAACAGAGGAGCTGGAGTGTACTATCACTGTGTATTACTCAAAGTACTTCAGCTGGACAGAGAATGACCCACATGTTGAGGATAAATTAACGTTCTCCACCTCTAATGAAGAACTTTTATTTCTGCATTAATGTGACATTTGTTTTATTCATTTTAAATTTACCTTCTATTCTGTTGGCTCGAGCTTTTCTTTTGTTGATTTTAGTTTTTGTTCTGAATATTTAAATTATTAATTTGTTTCAGCTTCTACAACCCATTTTAGTCAAGTCATTCAGTACTCAGCATTTTCAGAATGAGTGATAAGTTGTTCTCATTGTATTCCTAATGTTGACATAAGTATGTGATGATAGAAAACAAAGTTATACTCACTCTGGAGGACACGGCTCAGTGTTGCAGTCTCTCAGGTTTTCTGGGGGTTTGCTGTCAGGATCACAGTAGCTGTTCTGCACCACCAGATTGTCCTCAAGTCTCTTACAGACCACCTCCTGCCTCTGGGAACCTGCAGAGGGAAAACCGGATCAATAAGGCAGCGCTGTGTGAGTGGAAATGGTATAACTTTCATTCTGTAGCAGATCCAGACATGAAAATCTTGATTCTTTCAAGGATCTGTTGGAAAATCACTTTTACAGAGCAGAGAGCTCTTTACTTTGGCTTCTGCCACAGAGAGTGAGGGCTATCAGTGTCACACCTCCTGATGGAGATGTGGCTGCAAATATCTGGCTTTACCAACCAAGACTGGATGTGTTTTGACTCTGATGGGACACATCCAGCAGCAGAGTTGTGTGCCAGATGTAATGAGATCTGTCTGTGCATGTGTGCCTCTGTGTAAAGCAGGGGTGGGAAATCCTGGTCCTGGGGGGCCGCAGCCCTGCATGCTTTACTTTATTCTCTGCTCAAACACACCTGATTTGAATGAATGGGTGATTATCAGGCTTCTGCAGTACGGAGGACCGAAACTGACATAATTAAAAATAAAAGCGGAAATATATAAATGGACCAATAACAATATAATATATATAATACACTTAAAGTGCACCAATAAAATTCAAAAGGAGAATATATATATATATACACAAGAACAAGTTTTTAACTGAAACTAAGATTTAAAGAACCACTCCTTGCATGTCAGAACCAGTTTTGGGACTGTTTTCTACTGGAAGAGCATAAAAGATGCTTCACTGGGGCTGTGTCCTCAGACTCCACTTGTATTGCTGTATGCATGTTGACTCTTATTTTATTGCAATAAAATTACTCAAAGACCAATGTAGTGAAGAACTTTTTTCATCATGTATTTCTGCACTTTGTTTAACAGACATGAAAATTTTTTCCACCACACTTTGTTATGGGTTTCGGCCACTAAGCTACAGGATTAAAAGTTAACCAGGTAAATGCGTTGGGTTTCTGTTTTATGAACGAAGATGGATGGATCTGTTGGCTTTGCTCAAGAACTGAACTGTGACTGTTACAGTGCATTGCTGGGGCAGTACTTCAACACCAAGGCCTATGCTAATTTAACTTCTGATTCTGAATCAGAACAAGATCAGAAGCTGGACATCCACCAGAAAGATTCCATAGATGACCACCAAACTTATGCAAAGCACCAATTCACCAGAACTCAGAACTCACCAGAACAGATTTATTGTTTTGAGTGGGGATCAGGGGGGTAGAGGATGAGTGGGGCTCATTAGTGGGTCCAATGGATAGCCCTTTATCAGAGCTGAAAAAATAAATCTGAAGCTCCTATATTGAATAGTTTTTTAGTTATAAACAATTTTGTTAGTCCAGATGCCCCTTTTTTAGATGGAGCTATGGTAAAACCATAGGCTGGCGCAGTGTAGTTTGGGCACATCTACGATCGGTGCAGCCGTTTCCGTGATATGGTTGACCTAAAATCACTAAAATAAGTAAATACATAAACTAGATACCTCATAGTGGTAACATAATGACCCCCGCAGCTGAGTTTCTTCTTCCATGAAGCAGCTCTGTTGTCCTCCATCCATATTTTCAGTTACAGGTTGAGTCATTTCTACCTTCTCCTCTCTGTCAACGCTCTCTGGTTTCATTTAAAAGAGTCGATCATCAGATATTGTCCAAGATTAACCTTCAGGGTGGGTATAGCTCGCTCACACCGAGCACCCGTGTTAAAATATATTTTAAAAAATGTACAAAGCTGAACACCCTACAGTATTATTGCAGTCTTTATTTTACAATTAAAATATATGTTTATCAAATAAAGTCTAACTAATCGTAGATCCCTTTTATATTTGCAGTTTATTACGATCAGTATGTGTGAGGACGATTTTAGCAGCTGAAACGTCATCTCTGTAATCACTCTGGTTCTTCAGAAAAAGTACTTTCCGGTTCGACAGTTAGGTTCTTATGTATCCAGAGATGAAATTTTCCTAAACAGATCTTGCTGCTATTTAAACTATCATTACAACAAAACATGCTACGATGCTCCAGCTTGTAAACAAGAGAGAAGCAGCTGTGATGACGTGCTGAAATGGGCGTGACGTGATCAGATGGAAGTTCTTAAAGAGACGGAGGCCAATTTCAAGGACTTTATAAACGAAAATTAATGAGAAGTCAAGTGTATTAATGATTTAAACATAAAAACACCATTTTAAAAACAACTAAAGGAGACAAAGTTACTTTATTATGGTATAGTATTCCAATTTACTCATGAGAAACACATATCGCCCCTTTAAATGGTTTTACTAATTCTAAATAGGTGAGGAGAATTAAAATGAGCACAATGCAAAGATAAAACTGGTGTGACGCCACTAAATTTTGGGGGTGGGCATAGCCCCTCCTGGCCACCCTCACTTATTATGCCCCTGGTGATTGACAGGTGCTGATGAGCTGAAGTCACAGCAGCGCACATCTCTCTGTTGGATATATATATAT